TTACTTTTCTTTTTCTGATTCTCTCCCCCGTCCCACTGTGTGTGGGGGGCGGGCAGTAAGCGAGTGGCTGTGTGGTGTTTGGCTGCCTGCCGGGTTAAACCACAACACATAGTAGTTTGTTTATTTATCTGAGGTGGCAGCATGCTTTCATGTTCTTGATACGTTTTGTACAATGACAAGACTTCAGAAGAGGAGAAAAAGCACTGGATTTACTGGACTGATACTTTATTACATGGAAAAAAGCTAATGATAATTAGATTTAACTCCTCCCATCACCAATTTGAGTATTAAACTCAACTTATTTGTTACGCATTTCCAAGTAATTATAAATAAAATGGTCTCCATTTGAGAGACTATCCATATTGCTTACTAAAGTTTTGGCAATAGTCAGCATTTTCAGAAGGAAATGAAGCTAACAAACATATTAGCAAATGAGCTTCTAGATTTGTGTTCACTGGATAAAACACTGCACCAAATCAACAAAAAAAAAGCAGGCAATAGTGACAACAATCAGGAATAACTTATGTAGTATCTTCAAAATACTTTGAAGGTATAATTTAATCTCTTTTGAAACTATCAAGAACTCTTCACCTATCTAACAGGCAGAGAAACTGTGATAAAGAATACTCAAACGACTCATCAGCTACTACTTGACCAAACTCTGGGATAGCTAGCATAGGAAGTCATGGTAGATCGAGTCCTAGATCTAATCTTTATCCACTAAATCATAATACCCTAAAAACTTAGTTTGGAACTCCTAAAAAGGGGAGTGGGGACAAGTGACACACAAAAATACACATCCATACTAACTGCTAAGCACCTGAAGAAAGCTTTTCAGCCCTTCAGTCAGAAAACATGCTTCCAGCTACTGGAATAAATGGTAGCACAGCAGAGATCACTTTCTGCAGCAGCTGCTAGTTTGCTATGAAAGGGACACAAGCTAGATTTTACTCTTCAGTGCACTGGTCTGATACATTCCTGGAGATGAATTGGTTGATTTTTGTTTGGTTTGGTATTGATCACTTATCCAAATTTTGCAGAATCAGTAGCAAGAGTTCCCAGACATGGGGACCCTTAATACACAGGATCTGGAATATACATTTTTAGTATTTTGGTAACAGAAAGATCTGGCCATTAGTCTCCTACACATTTTCTAAAGATACCTTATAGTAATTTACGAGTTGAACTAAAATTAAACTACATCATATATACTGCCTTAAGCTTATAAGCAAGGTCAGTACCCAACATTTTAAGTCATCATTACAGCATCATTATTTATCCTTACCTACACCCAGGAGTTCAACAGCAACATTTGTTATGCCATTCTCTGCAGCCAAGACAGATCGCCACTCCAAGAAATAGGATGCTACTAGTGTTGTCTCACCAAATGTGTCTGTTTTGATCAGAACCATATGCACTGGATCACATACAGATAACATAGTTGTTGCATCCGCCATTTTACTTCCATCACCTGCCATTATTAAACCAAGATAAGACAGCAAGAATATTATCATCCAAGTCCTCCTCAAAATTAAAAGAAGTATGCATTTACATTCGTTGCATACATTGCATTTTAAGAAAAATCTTGCATCCAGAAGTGTAAGCAATGATCCCATCTTAAAATCAAACTCAGTTTAGGACAGAGCTACAGAAAGATTACAGTTTATTTGCAGAGGAGATAAAAAGATTCCTATAGTTGAGTACTCCAATGTAACTGGTTCAACTGCACAAGAATTAAAATGGAATTAGCATTTAAGAAAATAAAGAATATTAAAGCACCATTAACTAAAAGCAATTGAAAAATATTCTATTAATAAATTGGAATGTGTCAGGTCAACTTACTATACATCACTATTTAGGAAACAACTTTCTCTATAGTTAAGCTTGACCCTATGATATAAAGGGCTCCACGAGCAGCAGAATTAACAAAGTCTGGTTTATTCTGAATTTGTGGTATATCCACTCCCTCCCCCAGTCCAGCTGCAATAACCCTGGCTTTGTCTCTGTTCCCTGATATTCCATAAGGTACCCTGGATTTCTGCAGGATTCAGACAATATCTGGAAGTCTTTTCATAACATACTTAGCTCCTACCATGTTCCCCGGCTACCAACAGAAGAATGGTAATACAGGCTGTGGATGACTTGACTCTTCTGCAGGTGTTTGCCAACTGGTAGGAAAAGTGAACTCACACTGAAGTTTTTCCTTCCATATGACGACAAATTTACATTTCCCTTCTTCACTTGTCAGCACAAAGTTCATGAAAATCACAGCCACCTTAATACCTCTTACCATCTCTGAGACTATCATCTCACTGTCAATTACGGATAAAGTTGGTAAAATTCAAAAGTTATTTCAGAGTAAAAAAGAAGGAAAAGAAGAGGCAAGAGTAGAGAAAGATCTACAAGTGGCATTACCTAATACAGTAATCAGTTTCCTCAGGAAAACACGACAAAAAATAGGAAAGAAAGTCACTAAATAACATCAAACATATTTCACAATAACTCTCAAGTCAGAAAAAAAACCCAATAGCATCAGCTTTAAACCCACAATATTCCTTACCTAGGCTATCCTTGTGTACTTCAAGTAAAAAGCCATCATGAAAATCTGGCTCACAGGCACAGGGGACAGGTTTAGAACGGAAGCGCTGATTTCGAAAATGTAAACACAGAGTGAAGGTAGAACAGATTTGGCCAGGCAAAGGCTCCGGTTCCTGAAGATGTTCCAGAAAAGCTTTTCCACCCAAAACCTGAAGGTAAAGATACCTCCGTGTTGGGTCAATGTTAGCTGTAAAGCGTAGTAATGAAAATGAAGAGACTACAAACAGATCTTAGGAAGCATGTTAAATATCAGTTAACCAACAGAAGACTAGAAAAAAAGAAACTTTTTTGGAACAAGTGCTTAAGAGAAAGTGATTCTAACATGTATGGAAGTTATATTACTGTAAAATAAATGAAATATTTTTAAAAAGTCACATTTTATGCAACACTAATTTCTGCTGCTTACATGAATTTACTTCCTGCAGATAAGCAGGAAAAACATCCACCTTTATGCCAGTTCATACTGGATTACTAATTCAAGAGTTCAAAAATCATAGACTTCAAATTTCTCTCAAAACTATGATCCAAATATTAAAATAAACAAGCAACATACTTTTTTTCAGAACTGGTGGTTCTCTGTCAACAAAATGTGTTGATGGTTTTGGAGCTGAAGTCTTCTCCTTTTCATTCACATCCTGGAATTACAGTTAAGACTTTTTAAGGCATCAAGGCATGCAACACTGCTCTTACGCAGCCTTCTAAAAGTTAAAGAATCCTCCATTTCAGCTGAATGCCATTCCTCAGGTATGCTCCCTTCTAGTACTTGAGATGTAACGAAACTGAACAAATACGTTCACTGTAGTATTATCATTAAACCAATTTTAGCATATGCATTAAGTTGTTAGGCTCCTAATATGTCACAACTCAGTAAAGCCATTACAAACCTCTAGAAGTAGTGAGTTTTCACTTTGTCAAAACACCAGGTCAGTAAGAAAAATAAGCAAAAATATTTTCACTCTTCAAAAGCTACTTACAGTTACAAATTTAAGTTCCTTCATAACATCATCAATGATTCCTCGTTGTCTTAAGGCTTTTATCAGATCTTCTGTGGATAACTGCTGATGCTCAGGCGCTAACTCTTCACGTATAGTCTCAGCAAGAACTTCTCTTATCCTGCCATGGACATCCATCTGAAAGAAAATTCACTGTATGCTACAAATACAAGCTCTTTAAATGATAGCAGCTATGACTAAGCAGTCACTCCATAAGACTAAAGGTATTCTCCTAGGAACACAGAAACAACTACACCAAAATATCAATCCTTTCAGAACTAATCAACCGAGTCACTATCTCCCCAAAGCAGCTCTACAAGTTTAAAAACTCATTAGCATATCAAACCTGAGCATTTTCACTGCTCTTGACAGTACCCCCTGCCTTGAACTTCCCTCCTCACAAAAAGATTTGCAAGTCCATCAATTATAAAATGGTCACTGTTTCAATTTCTTGTCTCCCTCAAAATTTAAACTTACGATAATTGTTTCTTATTTTTAAGGGAAAAAGCACACCTTTATATACTTGTAAATAATGCACAGAAGTAGGAAATCTCCATTGCAAGCTTCCCCTATGCTCAAAGGGAAGTCAGAGAATTTCTGTCCTTCATCTCAGCTGTGAAACTGCATGGATTTGTAAAGTTGTTTCTCACACAGGAAGCATGCTAAGGCCACGGCCACTGCGACTTGAAATACTTTGCGATATATGAGTTAAAGCATTCGTATTTATTTCCCCGCCAGTCCAAGGTCCAGCCCAAGAACTCCGCTCAAAAAGCAGCAAGC